GTACTGGATTTGGCTCGGTGTGTTCCTCTTACAGCATTTCAACGCCAAGTCTTGGATTTGCATGCCGTTGTGCCACAGCCCGGGCCCGCTGTCGCCCCAGGAACTATCGTTGACTGGCTTGACTCTGACCTCAGAGGCCTCAAGAGAGACTCTTTGGTGCCTCGTCACAAGGTTCTCCTCTTCGATTCCATTGTTCCTTGGTCCCTTAGCAGCCCTGAGGCGTGTCCCACTGAAGTGATTGTGTATACCGATGGGTCTGCACGGTCCGGACATGTGGGCAAGCGGACGTCGAGTACTTGCTTGGCTGTGCCTCTGACATATTGGTCCCGGCAGATGACCCGAGGTTTATCGGGGCAGACGAAGATATTCCTTTGGTATGCGAACAGCTTGCCATTGCTTGGGGTTTGATTTGGGTGGTAGAGTTCGGCCCCCTCTATGGGCTCCCGGTTACCATGCGGTACGATTGTATGGCCGCCGGCCAGGGGGCTTTCGGTACTGCGCGTGCTCCGCGTGGAGGTGAGGGCCAGGCAGATGCTTCGATATCTATGTTCCTCTGCCACCTACGTCAACTCGCCGCTTCACGTGTGACACTTTCCCATGACCACATCAAGGCACATGCAGGCCATGTGGCCAATGAGCTCTGTGATGAGCTCGCCAAACGTGCGCGTAGGTGTGAGGCCGCCCGAAGTGGGGATCTTCTCCCCGATTGGCCTAAACAGCTCTTCTTCCATCCCCTGCGTGCATGGGCCTGGGTCCCAGTCGCCGGTACCAAGGACCTGCCATCTCTTTTCTCGTTTGAGGCAGAGGCATCCCGCATGCAGACGTCGGATTTGGTTGGACCTGAACCACCGTCGATGGGAGCGCAGGTCGCCCGCGAAGGCTGTGGTCGGGTTGACTACGGACTGTGCTTTGTGACCTTCAATGTGCTGACCTTGCTTGATCCGCGTCCGGGTACTGTGATCGCCCCTGGGACCGTTCATCCTGGCCTCCGTGTGGTTGCTAAACGTGAAGTCATGAAGCGCCAATTCCAGGCCCTAGGAGCTAGCTTTGTCGGCCTGCAAGAGACACGTCTCCGCGAGGCCGCGACCTTGCCCGATGCACAGTACTATATGTTTCACGCTCCGGCAGATGAAAATGGCCACCACGGAGTGGCCCTGTGGGTCAGCAAGGATCTTCCTTACGCCCACTGTTTGGGCAAGCCTCTTTTCTTCCAGTCATCACACTTCACTGTGACTGTATGTGAGTCGAGGCTTCTGATAGTGCAAGTGTGCGCACCTCAACTGTCTTTGACGGTGGTTGTTGCTCATGCGCCCTCGGAGGTCAATGTGGCCTCGGGCGCGGCTGTCTCCTTTTGGCAACAGTGCAAGCGTGCCTTACGGCGCCGACCTGCGAGGTCTGAGGTTGTCCTGCTTGTCGATGCTAACTCAAGGGTTGGAAGCTTAACATCTCATTCAGTCGG